AAAAAACCAAACAACCTGATTAAAAAATGGGCAGAAGACCTGAATAGACATATTTCCAGAGAAGATATCCAGATGGCCAATAGGTACGTGAAAGGACGCTCAGCATCACTGATCACCGGGGAAATGCAAATCAAAGTCACACCGAGATATCACCTCACACCTGTCAGAATGGCTAACATCAAAAAGTTAGCAAGAATGGGCTTCCCTGGTGGCGCGGTGGTTGGGAGTCCGCCTGCCAATGCAGGGTACAGGGGTTCGGTGCCCCAGTCCGGGAGGATCCCACATACCGCGGAGTGGCTGGGCCCATGAACCATGGCCGCTGGGCCTGCGCGTCTGGAGCCTGTGCTCCGCAACGGGAGAGGCCACAACAGTGAGAGGCCCGCGTACCGCAAAAAAAACATAGGAAAAAAAAAAAAAAAAAAAAAAAAGTTAGCAAGAATGTGGAGAAAAGGGAACGTTGTGCACTGCTGGTGGGAATATAAGTTGGTGCAGCCACTATGGAAAACAGCATGGAGGTTCCTCAAAAAACTAAAAATAGAACTAATAGAAATCCTGCAATTCTACTCCTGGGTAAAACATCCAAAGAAAATGAAAACACTAATTTGAAAAGTACATGCCACCCAGTGCTCTTAGCAGCTCTATGTACAGTAGCCAAAATATGGAAGTAAACTAAGTGTCCATCAAAAGATGAACGGATAAGAAGACCTGGTGTATATGTGTGTGTGTGTATATATATATGTACTGCATTACACACACACACACACACACACACACACACAATGGAGTATTACTCAGCCATAAAAAAGAATAAAATTTTGCCATTTGTAACAATGTGGATGGACCTGGAGGGTATTATGCTAAGTGAAGTAAGTCAGACAGAGGAAGACAGATACTGTCTGTTATCACTTATATGTGGGATCTAAAAAATACAACGAATGAATATAACAACACAGAAGCAGACTCACAGACATAGAGAGCAAACTAGTGGTTACCAGTGGAGAGAGGGAAGGATGGAGGGGCAAGATAGGGGTAGGAGATTAAGAGGTATAAACTGCTATGTCTAAAATAATAAACAAGGATATATTGTACAGCCCAGGGAAATATAGCCATTATTTTGAAATAACTTTAAATGGAGTATAATCTATAAAAATTTAGAATCACTGTGTTGTACACCTGAAACTAATATAATCTTGTAAATCAACTGTACCTTAATTTAAAGCAGTTTTTTTCTGTTTGTTTTGTTTTGGCTGCGTTGGGTCTTTGTTGCTGCGCGTGGGCTTTCTCTAGTTGCGGTGAGCGGGGGCTACTCTTCGTCGCAGTGCGCGGGCTTCTCATTGCGGTGGCTTCTCTTGTTGTGGAGCACAGGCTCTAGGCACGTACACTTCAGTAGTTGTGGCGTGCAGGCTCAGTCGTTGTGGCTCGCGGACTCTAGAGCGCAGGCTCAGTAGTGTGGCTCGCGAGCTCTAGAGCGTAGGCTCAGTAGTTGTGGCTCACGGGCTCAGTAGTTGTGGCTCGCGAGCTCTAGAGGGCAGGCTCAGTAGTTGCGGCGCACGGGCTTAGTTGCTCTGCGGCATGTGGGATCCTCCTGGACCAGGGATCGAACCCGTGTCTCCTGCATTGGCAGGCGGATTCTTAACCACTGCGCCACCAGGGAAGTCCCTTAAAGCAGTTTTTTAAAGAATAATAAAAAAAAAAAAAAACACGTCTGCCCTTGTCGTGCATCCCTTTAGCCACCACCTCTCCCCTCTGGTCTTCACCCCTTACCCTGGAACAGCTGTTTGCCCCGGCAGCTGGGCTTCTGTGCCAGCCATGGTGCTGAAACTGTTGGCCAGAAATGCCGAATGTCCTGTGGGCTGAGAAGGCGCCGTGCTGCCCCTGTCCCCTCCCGAGCCCCGCCCCGTGACACAGCTCCCGCCTCGGTTTGTTATAAACTCACATATCATTACATACTATTTAGGACAAAAAATGCCTTTCAGCTATTTGGGAATAGTGAGTCATGTCTACTGGCTTTTTAGGATTTCTCTTGTGGGCCCATCATATGTTTACCATAGGGATAGCTGTCGACTCAGGAGCATACTTCGCATCAGCTACCATAATTACTTCTATCCCTACAGGAGTAAAAGTATCTAGTTGATTAGCAACTCTTTCTTTAATTTTTTTTTTTTTGGCTGCGTTGGGTCTTGTTTGCTCCACATGGGCTTTCTCTGCTTGCGGTGAGCGGCAGCTACTCTTCGTTGTGGTGCGCATCCTTTTATTGCAGTGGCTTCTCTTGTTGCAAAGCACGGTCTCTAGGTGCATGGGCTTCAGTAGTTGTGGGTTGTGGGCTCTAGAGGGCAGGCTCAGTAGTTGCGGCGCACGGGCTTAGTTGCTCTGCGGCATGTGGGATCCTCCTGGACCAGGGATCGAACCCGTGTCTCCTGCATTGGCAGGCGGATTCTTAACCACTGCGCCACCAGGGAAGTCCCTTAAAGCAGTTTTTTAAAGAATAATAAAAAAAAAAAAAAACACGTCTGCCCTTGTCGTGCATCCCTTTAGCCACCACCTCTCCCCTCTGGTCTTCACCCCTTACCCTGGAACAGCTGTTTGCCCCGGCAGCTGGGCTTCTGTGCCAGCCATGGTGCTGAAACTGTTGGCCAGAAATGCCGAATGTCCTGTGGGCTGAGAAGGCGCCGTGCTGCCCCTGTCCCCTCCCGAGCCCCGCCCCGTGACACAGCTCCCGCCTCACTGCTTCACTCTTCCCTCGCATTCTCCTTTCATTCTTCACCGCCGCCTACGTCTCCTGTGTTTCTCCTCCTCGGACTGCTGGCCTTGTCTGCGCTGCTCTCCCCAGCCGTCCTCTGGCCCTTCCACACACTCCTCGGGAGGTTTCGGCCAAGGCCACGTCTGTGCTGCCACTTCCACAAAGAAGGCCCCCAGAGCTGCCTGGGCTCCCGCGGGCCCTGCCCTTTTCCTCTGTCCCCTTATCAACACCAGAAGCCGGGCCTTTCCGACGTAGGCCTCTCCTCCCAACGCGCTCCACACTGAGCTGGTCCCGGGTCCTTGGATACACCTCCTGAACCCCTCTCGTTCTCTCATCCCCATTTCTTCTCTCATACTCAGAGGCTTCCACTGTGTCTTTCCCGGACGATTACATTAGCCTCTTTTTTTTCATCTTTAACTTTTTATTTGTATAAAATATAAAGGGATTCAGAGATAAATAAAATATAATCTCTGCCCTTGAGAAGCGCACGGTCCTGGCTGGTCATGTGCTTGTATACAAACATGTCTTGTAAACGAGCACGTCTCCTGGCAGCAGGCAAGATGCACCAGTAGGAGCAGGTGCTGTCTGTTGGGCCACACAGGTGTGAGATGAGGCAGGAGCTGATAAGGTGCCACCTGTGGCTGATGGCTGTCCTCCCGACACCCTTGAGTGCACCTCTGGCCAGGTATTTCTGTCCTGTACTCTCTCCTTCAGCACACTTGTAGATTTCCAAGACATCCTGCACACCTTGGTGGGCATCTTTCCAGGAATCTGACCTTTGTTCAGTTAAACTGTGGCAGAGGAAGATTTGCACAAAAAAAGACCCTACACAACACACACACACACACAGAGACGACCTCTCTGGTGCCCGACTGTCCCCTGGGTTGAATGAGGCCTAACTCAGATACACACCTGATTTCACTCGTGAACTTAGCCCAGCCCACATAAAACCCGGAGCCCACAGTTTCTCTTCTTGATTCTTTAATTACTTAGTCAGTATCCTGTCATGTTGTCAACATGATCAGAAAAAGCAGATCTAAGAAATAGGCTCCAAAACAGCAGCTCGGGTATTTCTACTGTTAAAATGAGAGTTAGGGGGCTTCCCTGGTGGTGCAGTGGTTGGGAGTCCGCCTGCCGATGCAGGGGACACGGGCTCGTGCCCCGGTCCGGGAAGATCCCACATGCCACAGAGCGGCTGAGCCCGTGAGCCAGGGCCGCTGAGCCTGCGCGTCCGGAGCCTGTGCTCCTCAGCTGGAGAGACCAGAACAGTGAGAGGCCCGCGTACCGCAAACCAACCAACCAACCAACCAAAAAACCCCGAAGGATTAGTTATGTCTATACTTTTTCTAAAACTGTATTATTCATTATGTGTTTTGTATCTCCAAATATGTTTATTACATAAAACTTCTAGGATGAAATGCAGAGGCACTAAGAAAGGCTACTTATATTCATTTTGACTTTTAAAACCAAAAAAAAAAAAAAAAAGAGAGAGAGAGAGTTAGGGCTAGATTTGGGGCAGGGTGACCAGTATATTCCCTCTTGTCACCGTCTATGCTCTCTGGACCCCTGTGCCCTGCACCATGGCCTGCAGCAGGGCTCAACCTGCATCCTACAGCCTCTCCCTGAGACAAGAGCATCCTTCTGCAGCATCCAGGGCAGGGAGAGAGTCCACAGACATGTCAGCCCACCCCGCTGGCATCCGCCCCGTAGGTCGTCGCCTTATCTGGGAATTGGGTTCACCTGGGTGACAGGTAATCTGCCCTGATTAAATGTTAATCCAGCAGGTGGGAGTGGAGCTGATACCTCAGCAAACTGTTCTCAAAAAGTGCGTGGAGGTGCCGTTGATGATTCTGGCCGAGATTCGGGAACACAGGGTCCTCTTTTCAGTTCTCTCTGAGTTGACTTACCTTTCTACGCCTAGGCTTTTTAGGCTCTAAGCGACACTCGGCCCTCTCTGTTGGTAATTTTTTGGTGCACCTCCCCAAGGTCTTGGTAGAGCTGCCCTGGTGTGTCACTCGGCTGCAGCTTGGTCCCTGCCACACCTGATCCCGCTAATGTCCCTGCATCACTTAGACACCCTCTCGGGTTGTGGTGCTTTCTGGCTGTCTGCATCCAGTAGAGGAGAAGCTCCAGGAGGCCGGGGCTGGCATGTCACCTTTGCTCGTCACCTGATCCCAGGTGCCCTGCTGTGTCTGGGCCCTGGATGTGATGGGCTGTGGGTTTTTTCTGCTGTGCTCACATCTGCTTGCCTGTCTTTCAGGAGCCCAGCAGCTGGGGCTGCCGTTTTACACGGACCCTGGAGGACCAGGGATGAATCCTGCTGGGAACCCTGTGGCGATGGCTTTCCAGGTCCAACCCAACTCACCCCAGGGAAGCATGGCCTACCCACCGCCCCCTTCCTACTGCAACACGCCACCGCCCCCATATGAACAGGTGGTGAAGGCCAAGTAGCCGGGAGCTGCCTGGCACCTGCCTGTGCAACTGGCCGGGGAGGCCAGGGGAGGGTGTCACCCGCCCTCCCTGGCGCCCCATCACTGTTCACCTCCAGGAATGGTCTTCTGAGCCACTAAGGGCAAATTTCTTTTTGATATCTTCAAAGCAAGCACAGCTTCCTTTCAAGTTTTCCTTGGAGGACCAGTATTTGAATTCACCCCGTGTCTCCTCTGTTGCTTCTGTTTCCAATGTCATCTGTGCTCTGGCCGAGTGGAGAGTCCCAAGGGTTGACTCCCTAGGGTGGCGTGCCCAGACCCTCAGGGGAGAGACCCCGGCAGAAGGTGAGGCAGGGTGCGTGCAGGTGAGTACACGTGAACGCGAGGAGGGGCCCGGGCCGCCCGGAAGGCCCCGCACACGGCAGGCGGCCCATCTGAAACGAGGCACCACAGGGCCAGCCGTGTGAGCCCCTTGCCTGTCAGTCTTCCTCTTCCAAAGGCTCTCAGAGAAACGGGCGTTGGCGGCGCAGCCTCGGAGCCCTCTCTTCTCCATCCCCTTCCTAAAGACCAGAGCTGCCCTCTGCACAGCCAGGGCTGGGAGAGCCCTGGGCACGGCTTGCACCTCAAGGAGATGGGGATCCAGAATCGGGCCAAGTTGCTGTCTATAGTTACCTGAAAGTCACTAAGGAAAGTTATTTAAATTCATGGGAAATTGCCCCCTGCCTCCAACCGGACATTGCATTTGATGAACTCTTGGTCTGACTTGGGGAAAAAAATGTTTGAGCCCTTTTCAGTGTGTCCTGTGGAAGGTGGCGTGGAGTCATGTCCTGAGGTCAGACGCGGAGTGTTTCCTGGACATCGGCAGCTCTCTGGCCTGTGATCACGGCCAGGCACCTCTGCGTCCTCCCCTGAGGAAGCTCTGATGGTGCGTTTTGATGGACGCTTTCAAAGCAGACAGGCACACCCGGCTGGAAAGCTACATCAGCCTCTGGAGAGAGGTGCCCCAGCAGGGCGCAGTCAGTGGCTCGAGCCTGGGTTGGGCAGGCCTGGGCCCTGGCTGGTTGACCTCAGCAGGTGTACGCCGGGCCCCGAACAGGAGGAGCTTGCTAAGAAAGAGACGGGAACGCAAGACCCCAGGACTGCAGAGCGATCTCTTCAGAAAGGAATGAATAGATTTCACTGATGATGAGTTCATCAAAATTAGAATAAAGAAGGTCTGGTTGGAAACGCAAAGCCTGGCTCAGAAACCTCTCTGGCCCTGGGATCACAGGTAGTCCTGGGGTTGTCAGGGGACCGGGGTCCTGTTCCTCTGCGTAGTGAGTAATGCCCACAATCGCATATTTAAACCCAGAGTGAGACCTGACAGGTCACGTATAGGAGGGGCACAGCCGCGTAGCCGAGACATGTAGATCCCTGTATATGTAGTGGTGGGGGTGGAGTGCTTTTTTAATTTTTCTTTGATTTTTTTGCGGTACGCGGCCCTCTCACTGCTGTGGCCTCTCCCGTTGCGGAGCACAGGCTCCGGACGCGCAGGCTCAGCGGCCATGGCTCACAGGCCCAGCCGCTCCACGGCACGTGGGATCTTCCCGGACCGGGGCACGAACCCCTGTGCCCTGCATCAGCAGGCGGACTCTCAACCACTGCGCCACCAGGGAAGCCCAGAGTGCTTATTTTTGAAATGAACTCAACAGAGCCTCCTGAGGAGTTGTCACTCATTGAACCTGAGCGTCAGGACATCTCACCGGAGTGGATACTGAGGGTTTTCATTCCCTAGCCCTAGTCTCCGTGTCCCTGCTCTACTGGGACACGTCTGTGGCGTAGGAGTGAGGAATCAGGATGGGGCCACAGTGACTTACCTTTTCTAAGGGTGGGGAATCTGGGAGCCTCCCCGGGAATTCCACAAGACGCTCTTGGAGCCAGATGAACCCCTTGGAAACAGTCTGTGAACACGGATGCTGCTGCCGGTGTCTTTGACCACCGAGTGTGACCTCTGAACTCCTGTGCCCAACTTCAGTACCTCCCCGCACTCAAGTCCTTGATTCGAATGAGACAACAAAGTGCAACATTTGCTGTTTACAACCCAGGACAACTACATGGGTCCAAAAGGTCCTCTTCCTCCAGGTCATTCGTTTTGCATTTTCAGGTCCAGTTTCTCCCTTTACTGTTCTGATGAGGAAGCACGCCGAGAGCTGCCCCTGGAGTTGGATTGGGTGCAGCTGAGTAGCCACCCAAATGTCCGTGACGAAATTTTGTTTACCTTTTTTGATAGCAAATGATCTTGAGACTGAATGATTTAGGTAGCACTCAACAATTTTATATTCATGTTTGTGTGAGATAAATTTTGTTTTCCCTTTAACCGGGGTGAGAACCCACTACTGTGGGCACTGACACTGTGTGTGGAAATTCCACTCGCAGTGACATTTCCTGCCCATTCTGTTTCCCCCCGTGCTGTCGGTGGACAGTGCCCACCGCTTGGAGCCGGTCCAGCTCCTGGTGTGTGAAGTTCCACAGAGCTCCATAGCAGGTGTGGCCAGGAGGAGCTGGGAGCAGATCCGTGCGTGCTTTTCCTCTTGTAACAATTGGCTCATTTCTCTTTTCTGTTCTTTTGATAGGGTCATGTTTCCTATGTATGCAAAATAAAAATAAATTTGGGTGTGTGCTTTGACTGTTTTGCTGGGGAGTGGGAAAGGGGGGAGAGACGAAGTTTCTAAAGAGGGATGCACAGTGGGCTCTCAGTTCAGCTGGGTGGGGTGGAGTGCGTGAGGAATGCGCCCGGTCTCAGGAGAACTGGAAATTAGATGCTATCCAAGAAGATAAGGAACTTTTGTTTCACCAACACATTTAAAATGTCTAGCTAAGGAAAAAATTATCGGAATAGGAAGACAGAAGCACTAATTATGCTAATTATTTTAGTTAATTAGCATTAATTATGCTAATTATCAGCTAATACTGATATTAATTATCTGGGGGCCTGAGTGTGCTTTGCATAGGTAGGGGAGCCTCGATTTTAAAATCCAACTCTAGGGCTTCCCTGGTGGCTCAGTGGTTAAGAATCCGCCTGCCAGTGCAGGGGACACGGGTTCGAGCCCTGGTCCGGGAAGATCCCACATGCCGCAGAGCTACTAAGCCCGTGTGCCACAACTACTGAGCCCACGTGCTGCAACTACTGAAGCCTGTGCACCTAGAGCCCATGCTTCACAACAAAGAGAAGCCACCGCAATGAGAAGCCCGTGCACCACAAAGAGTAGCCCCCACTCGCCGCAACTAGAGAAAGCCCACGCGCAGCAACGAAGACCCAACGCATCCAAAAATAAATAAATAAATTTATTTAAAAAAAAAGAAAGAATGCAACTCTATTTGGTCAGAAACTGTATTTCTCTCACAGATCTATAGCTGCTACGGTTAGGCTGTATTTTAGATGAACCACCAACTGAGATAATGTTTATAAAGAAGTGTTTTATAATTTACTATCTTAAAACAGGACAGGAAATAAGGTTGAAGAGGCCAGACAGCCTGCTGGTGGGGAACTCAGAGCTGATTTAGACGCCTCACTGGACAACCCGCTGGTCATCAGCTTCCCCCAGTGAAACGGGAGCAGGGTCATTTACACATCAAAGGTCATGACTGGAGATGGCAAACACAGTACTCAGTCTTGTCTGTCCCTCCCAAATTTCACTGAACTCCAAAAAGTCCATAATAGTTATCAAGGCAAAAAAGTGTAAGATCAGAAATTGTAATTTCTGAAATAGAAGGTGGCAGGTGGGATTGACAGATGAAGAAAACGGATCTGAGAAAAGATGGGCGCTGACAACGTGCACAGGAGTTTCAATGACTCACATGATCTCCAATCTCAGTTTCCTCAACTGCAAAATCACATTACGGTCACTCAACAAATGTTAGAAATCCTCTGTTCTCCCTCATTCCTCTTTCCCCTGAGCAAGAGGAAGCCGAGTGGGAGAGAGAGTGAGTTCCCACCCAGTCCTTTGCCCGTCAGGAGATGAGCTCCGTGGCGTGAGGGGAGCAGATTCCCCTTGAATACATCCAGGATGTGAGGATGGAAGCCGAAGGGGTCCCATACACTGCCACTGCCTCTGCCCCCCATGTCACCTTTACCATCTTGAAATGTTGGCTATGGGCTGCTCAGCAGTGGGTGTTGAGCCCACCAGAGCTGGGAATGAGAAACCTCGGGCAACCATCTTTTTCCCCCACCACTGACATTGAATGAGGTCTGTGCGTGCCCCAGAACCAGCCGTCATTATGAGCAATCCGTCCTGTACTTAGGTGTCTCTCTTGCCATTCCCTGGCGCCCCCATAGCTTTTTGTTCCAATGCTCCTGCCTCCTTGGCTGTGCCGCGGTGTCCAGGGTCTATCCTGCTCAAAGCTTTCCTAAAAGTGGTGTGTTTGGTGCAGGGAAAATGATTGACACCTCCCATCCCCCGGTACAGCTGGGCTCTGTTGCCGTCTCCAGTTCTGACTCCAGGCACCAAGGTCTGGCTTTGCTTTTGTGAGGAAAGGCTCCTGGTCCCCAGGGTGTAATGAGGGTGGGGGAGGGCCCGTGGTCTCAACGGTAGCAGGCATGCAGGGGGGCGCTGCTTTTTCTTCCTCTCTGGACTGGAAATCACAGTCCTGAGGTCCTGAAAGCCCTGAGCCACATTTGCCACAGACCGGTGCTCATTGTACAGGAACAGGAGACTGTACCTCTGTGTGTACAGAGTGCGTGCCTTTGAAAAGTGCCTGGTCACAGCCCTTCCAAACAATAACGATCCCTCATGTTTTTGAGGAAGAAAGGAATTTTTCATCTTGCTTTAAAGTTTATAAGGAGAAATGCTTTTAGATGTATGTTCTAGACCAGGACTGTCCTTTAAAAAGATGTCAGTTAAGCATGTTATACTAAATTTTCATTAGTTACATCAAAAGAGATGAAATTTATTTTAATAATATTTAACCCAAGGTATCAAAATATTATTTCAACATGTAGCAGTGTAAAATATATTAACAAGAAATGTTACATTCTTTTTTCCA